GGGGGGGGGGACGGAATATTGTTTTGTTTACCTGAGTCTCGCGAGGGCGGGCGGCAGTCGAGGAGGTCAAAGCGAGAGGGCGTGCGAAGCTCCTTAGGAAGTGACCCGCGACTGTGGGCCGTATTATTATTTATACTCGCGTGTCTTTGTGCGCGCGGGCGGCGCTTCCACTCTGCCCTAAATGAAAGCCTCCGACGCCGCCATGTTGGAAAAGGGCGGAAGAAGGGATTCGAGGGCGGGCTCACGCATCTTCTACAGGGGGCGGAGCTCGGCGTTTTCATCCTTGCCAATCCACTTCACGCAAAAGTTTCGTTCCTCCTTCCAATTGGCTTCATTGCAGAGATTGGAAAAAGGCTGGAGTGATACACAATCTAACTTGGTGAAAATGGAAGCACGGGATTACCCGTATGATGTATATAACCGTCGTGGGACGATTTTCTAATAGCACGGGGTAAAAATATTTTAAATAAATAATATATATATTATGTTTAATAGATTATTATAAGCGTTGCGGGGAGGCTTTTGGCAGAAGAAAACTTCGGCTATTGGGTTAGAAATTAAATAAACATACTTTTTCAGGGGCAGGAGTGGAAGACTTAGGGCTTATAGAATCCGTTTTGTTTTCCTATTAGAACTCGGGCCCATCCATTGGAGTAAATAGTGGCTCAGAGCGGGGACATATATTTAAAATATTATTATGCTTGTTTCAGTATAATTAAATGGGAACGTAACTGGTATTATTTATTTTCTTTGTGTTGCATTTTCTTCAGACTTAGTTGACTTCCCCCACTCCACATTCATAGATCCATAGAATAGTTAGGGTTGGAAGGGCCAAGAAGGTCATCAGGTCCTTGCCCCTGCTGGTGCAAGGACGGCAAGTCACACCATCCCACTCAGATGGCTATCCAGTTTCTTTTTGACTGTCTCTAATGTGGGAGAGCCCACTACCTCTCTAGGCAGTTGTTTCCACTGCCCTGTTGCTCTGACACTTAGGAAGTTTTTCCTGCTCTCTAGCTTGAACCTGGTGTTCTCATCTAACTGTTTCTTCCTGCTGTTGAAAATAAAATTGTATGCATCCAGAAAAGTGTATGCCCTAATGAACTGTGGCTGATGAAAGTGAAAAAGCAAAAGTGAAGCGGAACAATAAGAAAACAAAAATCAGGACTACAGAAGAATTACACAACTTCAATGTCAACAGCAAATTAAAACTCTGATTTTGCATATTTTGGTTCAATCACCAATTCAAATGAAGACTGCAGCCAAGAAAGAAGTAGTAATCTAAGACTTGAAGGGCAACAATGAAGGAACTAAGAAAGAGCAAGTGTAAGAATGTTTCACTTGAGACCAAGGCCAAGGTCATCCACACTATGGCATTCCTGATCAATGGGAATGTGTGTGAAAGCTAGCAGTGAAAAAAGCTGACAGAAAGAAAATTGATGTGTCTGAAACATGGTTGTGTAGGAGAGCTTCACAAATACCCTGTAACAATAGAAAGACAAACAATTTGATCCCAGATCAAATCAAGACAGAACTTTCCCTGGAAGCAAAAAAGGATGAAACTGACACTTGTGTACTTTGGGCACAACAAGTGAAGGCAAGTCTCACTGGAGAAGACAATCATGTTAGGGAAAGTCAAAGGCAGAAGAGGAAATGCGATAACAATGATGTCCCTTGATTCCATAAAAGAAGCCACAAAACTGAGCAGGGTTGTCAAGGACGGGATGGTTTTTTGGAGGGCATTCATTCACGGGGCTGTCGCGAGTTGGAAATGACTTGACAGCACCTAACAACAATATACTGCAATCCTATGCAAGTTTATCACAGCTGCCTCGTGCTCATTAAGAGTTGTACTTTTTTTTCCGTATTTAACTTGCATAGGATTGTGCCCTTCATCGTGAAGTTGCCGTAAGTCTATGTGTTGTTCTAGACTTAAGAAACAATAGAATATTTCCGAGTCTAAACAGCTGCATGGACCAAGAATTTATTTTCAATAGCAGAACTGAATGCGCAGTTCTTTCACAATATATCAACGGCTAGTTACCTTCTACCCATTCTTCCTTTCAGCATTGTGACTTAAGTGGGGTCAGGTTGGACGCTTTTTGTTGTTGCAATTCTTAAACTGTTGGAAATCAGATGGCTTTCCCCATCTTTTTCAGATCAACCTGAGATCTGCTAGTAGATTCTTTCTGTCTGGTCCTGCTCTATCAGTGCAGAGTGGGTGGCCGTCCTTCTATTCTGTGATTTTACTGTAGTGAAAGCCCTTTATGCTTGCTGCTGGAAATTAAGTTAAAACCAAACTTGGTATTAGATTGATTGTGCCCACAAGATCTTCGATAATGTGCAACTCTTGCCTTTTCCTACTTCTATGGCAGCAGCAAGGAGGAGTGTAGTAACTTCCACCCCTAGCACCAATCCAGGCGGCATGATGTCATCTGTCATGTGACACGCCCCCCTTTCTTCTTGACAGTTACGCATGCACAAGCACGTCCTTCCTTCATATCTTGAGTACCACTTATCCTTCTTATCACTGAGCCGAATTTACTTACTGCCCTGTAAATGCGGGGGCCTGTCTTGTCGAAGTGAGTTTAGGACTAAAATCTATATAGTTTTTATAGTGTTCTTTGCTAAAATTGAAGTGATTCATTATTGTTATCATTACTAGTATTATATTGTTGCAGTTGTTGTGGTTGTTAAAACCCAGATAAAGAAATAGAAGAAACACAAACTGTGCAATCCTATGCATGTTTAGGCAGAAATGTGTTTTGAAGTTTACAGGTCTTTTTTTCTTTGTAAGCCTCGAATCTGCTCTAAACTACTGCAGTTCAACAAAAAGGATATTAGTCTGCCCTTGCATGGCATCTGTGCTCCACCTAGTCAAGAATTTCCTGCAAAGCCTTGGGAAAGCAACTGACTTCTCAGCATCTGCTTCCAATCAATAAGTTAAAAGTATACTAACTACATTTATACCATGCCTTTTTCCACTTTCAGGGACTCTATGGTGGCTTACTCAGTTCTCCTTTCCATTTTTTTTTATCCTCTCAACAGCTTTCTGAGGTAGCTTGGGCTGAAAATCAGTGACTCATCTAAATACACCAATTGAACTACATAGGGATGAGAACTAGGATCTTCCAAATCTCAGTCCAAAACTAACCACCACAACACACTGGGGGAGTAAATAAACTGGTTTCATTTTGGGTTGCATATACTTTACTTGTACCACTGTGGGGGCGGCTATATCATATGACTTTGTACCTTTTCAGGACCTCAACATGCCCCCAAACAATGTAAGTTTACAACAAATGCAGTGCTAACATAAAGAGAATTCCCCCATTTAATTCAGTGGAAGTTGAAACATTGGAGAGGCCCTATTACGAGCTCTCATTCCACCCACATTATTCTGTCAAGATAAAAGGATACGACAGAACTCAGAGACTAAAGGGAAGTATCCAAGATTTTGGCTGTTCCTCCACTGGCTGTGTTGCGCTAGTGAGATCCACAACTGGTGCAAGAGGAAAATAGTGTGTCCTAAAACAGCTTCAGAAATGAGCTGAAAAACTATTTTCTAGAGCAGGATAAATCAGTGGGGCTCCCTCCTGCAAGCTTCATTTGGAAATTAGTGTTTCTGCTTGCTTCAGGGGGCGCTAGCCTCTTGCACTGGTGATGGGTACCACTGATTCAGTGTCAGTGCAGATGCTGCCTAATCAGAACACACCACTGCCACTTTATACAGCCTACAGAGGAAGACGATTTCCCAGACGATACAGCACACAGCATAGGACTCTGTCTTATCGGATGCATGCCACACTTGCAAGAGAGAATGTTGATGGGAAACAAAGCCAAGGGGGCATTTGCAACCAGCCTAATGTCACAGCATATATGAGAACTTGAGCACATTGCTAACACTCTTTGCCTAGAACCCTAACAGGTACCTTACCTTGCAATTTCAAACACAATTATGGTATCCCACACCACTCAAACAACTTAGGGGTGCCAGGAAAGAGCACAGCCAAGGTGGGATCATGGAAAGATGCAGAGAGTAGAAAAAAGGACCAGTGTTTTGCTGACATATCTGCATGTCTGGTATTCTGCCAGTGTCATAAAACTACTGCTGAATCAAGTAGAGCATTGCATTCTGAATTCCACTCTTCCCTGAGGCAAAAGTGAGAACTTCCCATAAAAACCAATGCAGAAATCTAGGATTTTGCTTTAGGGCTTAAGGTGCCCTGTGGGGGAAAAAAAGATTGCATGGATAAAAGAAGGTGACACAATTCCTAACTTTAGTCTTATATCATATGAAAAATGTATTCAGGTTTATATAGTTGGAGTTTCTCAATACTTAGAGGGGTAATATGTCTGTATGCCAACCAGTGGAGTATGCAGCTCTGCACTGGCCTGATGCTAGAAGAGGGCTATTTAAGGACACCTTTTCCCCTTGTTATAGAAGATTTTAGGCTCAGCCTCACCTCTAACAACAGACTATATTACAGAGCTATTGTAAGCTTCTGTCTGATCTTCAACCTACAGTGTTAAGAATGGGTCATTCTGTAATGCCATTGTAAATTATTATAAATCACATTTACCTCCTTAACCTAAACTATAACCTACAATACGATGGATTGCCAAAAAGGGTGCGGGGAGGGCTAATCGCAGCAAACCACAGAAACTACTTTGCGGGGTTGTTGTAAATCACTCTCAATTTCGAGTGCTCCCCTCTCAATTTGCAATATGGGGATGTGCTTTGGCATGAGAATTTAAAATGATCAAACACATATTCTGCTATGAAATAAGACTTAATCAGACAGATAGGGATTTTGCTTTTTACCGGCAATTTTCACTTCGGGGAAGAGGACGCTTACTTTCCAACTATAGCTACGCCCCAATCTTAAATTGCTATGGGTTGCTTCACCTCAAGCTGGGATTTAAAAAAAAATCATTGTGAACTCGTAAATTATCCATGAAAACAATGAAATGCGCCACTCCACACACTTTTCTTATCTGGAAAGGGGCCGTAGCTCTGTGGCGCCGCAGCGGGACGCAGGCGCCTTCGCCGCCCTGCAGTGACGTCCGGGCGGGCGAGGGGCGGGGCCGCGATGACGCAAGTGGTTCCAGCAGCTGTGAGTGACCCGAACCGGATTTGATTCCCTTCCAGCCTGCGGAGCACCGGCCGGAGCGGACGCGCCTTCCTCTTCTCCTTCTGCCGCCTGGGCCCGCTTTCTCCTTCGCTTGTCCTCACCATGGCGCTCAGCGATGCCGACGTCCAGAAGCAGGTACGGCTCGCCTCGCCGCGCCTCTCCGCGAGGAGACCCTCACATCGGTGGCTCGCCCGCTCCACCTTGCGCAGCCCTGCCTTGGCCGGTCGGTCTCGTGATGCGATGCCTTTCGAACTACTGAATAATAGACCAGTCTTTCCAAATCTGGTACCCTCCCTCTATGTTGGACTGCAGCTGTCATCATCCCCAGTCAACATCGAGAGGGTTCCAGGGTTGCACGAGGCGGAATGCAGACTTGTGTTCTTGCCTGGGGTCCAGTAGAAGGGAATGGGAATGAGGAGGGGTTCAAATTGAAGGAGATGGGAGGATGAGGTTGCTTACTCTCGAGGAAGTCCTAGGGGGGGTTTGCTTTCAGAAAAAAGAAAGTACAAGCTTGCCTGCTTTTGAGCCCCAAAGCCTGTTTTATAGGTGGTGTGAGCCACTATTTTAAGGACTGGAGGAGAAAAATGAGGAGTTCCATTTCATTTTTGGTGCAACTTTTTGTTATCTCTGTGCAGGTGAGAAGAAATGTAACTTGATTTTGTGTTGGCTTAATTTGGAAGAAACTCAAGTTCCAGTTCTAAATTCCATTAGATTTCTTCCACTGAGATTTATGTTCATGGGATAAGGCTCTTGCAGTATTTCATACATTGTGATACTTGTAGCACAGTCCTAACAATGTTGTTTGGGAACTAAGCCCCAGTGTATTTAATGGGACACCTAAGCAAGTGTGCCCAGAATTGTGGTCTCTTTCAGATTTTGAATGCACACAGGAAGGTTCTTCATGTGAGATAATAGAAAGAGGGAAGTGATCAGAAGAGGAACACAGTTTGCAATCCAAGTCTTTGCAGATTGATGCGAAAGTAAAGCCCCACTGGGTATATTCCCAAATAAATGTACATAAGATCAACAGAATTACCTGTCACTTTTGATGTTTTCATGTAAATATACTTTATGGCCATGCTTAGTGAGCTCTTCTCTTGAAATTGCACTAGGACTCAGGAGATGCTTCACAGGAAATAAAAATGGCAATATTAGAGATTTTCATCACCTATAATGTGCAGAATAATGTGTTCTTCTTTAATGTGAAAAACTACTATCTCATCAGTTCCATATGCACAACCAGTAACATTAGTTTTGAGAAACGTTGAAGATGTGGGAGAAGCTAGTATTGGCCATTAATGTGAACATGGCAGGTCTATATATAAGAGTAGCTCCTCTAATTTAAATGACCTTGAGTAGGTGCCCTGACAATGAAGCACTTACTTGCTACAAAAATGACTAAGACCATGTCTGGTGGTAGAGAGCTGGAAAATGTGTGTTGGTTACACAAGACTGCTGCATTGAAGTCCTGATTAATTTGCAAGGTTGCAGCATTGAAATATGTCTCAGTTAATCTGTAATAAATTTAATGCTTTATTGCCATGTTCACAATTCTCTATATGGATGATGATTCTCAGATTCTCCGTGTGACCCGAAATACATTAATGAATAAGATGGAGATGAGTGAGGATATTGAATAGGTAGAAGTTGGAAGTTCAGATGCCCAGGTTATTTGAATGTCACTTGCACACCTGAAATTGGATAAGTTCAAGGGGCTAGCCGTACGCATGTGGAGTGGAAAGGTGGAATATCTTTCCTTTAGAAAGACAAGAAGATCTGCTGTGGAACTGAAGGCATTAAAGGAAAGACAACTGGTTCTATCCAAATAGCAATATTCCTTAAGCACATTGTTAAGACTGTTTTTGCAGTGACATTGACTATACATGGAAAAGAAGAACTGAAAAAGCCGATGACTAATGCTCATATTAACTGGTGAAGATAGGAAGTTCTGCCACTAGAAAGGGAACATCTGCATGGCAAGCAATACACTTAAAGGGCAATTTGTGAAACTTAAGAATGTACAATGTTTCCTAACCGTCCCTGTTGAAGCTTCTTCTGTACTGTTTTTGTCATTCCCAATGCACGCATTTATTTCATGTTTAGGAGTGACAATAATACATTTCTAACTATTCGAAAAGCTAAATGCATAGCAAACCCATGCCATCAAATGATGAGACATAAAAGAGAGTTGTTTTTAAATTGCTTCTAAAATAGTTTTTCCAGTCAGTTTAAATGATATAATTTCCCTGAAGGGGCCTTTCCATGGTGGAATTTTACGAGATACAGCTGTGTGGTATGGTTGTCCTTTAGTGCTTGTCCTGTTGACTGTAAATAGTGCCCTTACTAGCAGAACTGCCCTGAGCTAGGTTTGGAATGGAGTATTGTACTGAATACTGCAAAGAACCAGCCCATACTGGTGAAAGCAGCACTTCCTCACACACAGTTGATGGGCAGGGTACCTGCGTTTTGCATGGCCTTGGCCATTGTAGGTTGAATGCATTCTCCCACAGAGCTGTCTTCCTCATATTTCATTACTGTCATTAGGAGTTTCTCCTAAAATATGGCCAAATAAAATTGTACAGTGATTTTTACCAGGGCACCATACTTGCCCATCTAGCTCAGTACTGGCTGCTCTGCAGAGTAATGGGAGATGCTGACTGTGTTTGCATGACACACGGCAACACATTGTAGCTTGTTTAAGCTGCAACATGCCATGGTGCCCATATAGGCCATCACAGATACTCAACTCTGATCCTAGCCACAAGGGTTGTGTGAACAGTGGGAGTGGCTGCATTTTGGCCACAAAGAATTCAGCATAGTGACTGGTATATCAAAATGGCAGAGATCTATAGGTATTAACTGCAGTGAACTCAAGTACAGTGCAGTTCAGTTGATTTTAAGTCATTTTCTGTTTGTTCTATTTACCTAGGTTATCTTTCTTAATCCTTTGCTAGAGCAGGCCTCCACAGCTTGTGATATACCAAGCTGCATGCGGCTTGCCTCGCTCGGTTGCTAGCCATCCAAATTGCAAAGAAAACTTTGCGGTCCCCAAATGGGCCGTATTTATCTTTGTGAACTGGACGTAGTGCTGGAGGAATGCTGTGGTTGCTTTATCTTTTTCTTTCTTTACTTCTTGCCAGTACCTATTATGTTGAGGTATATTTGAGGCTACCAAGAAGTAAACCATGATCAAAACTGGGAATAAAAAAAAATGGACTGTGTAATTTGTTTCAGAGCAAACTCTAATTACTTATCCATAGTAAGCCTTTTTTTCTTTTGTAACTGGAATGCTTGGTACTTACTGGTTCATTTTTCAGTCTCGGGGGTAAGAAGAACCACTCATGTAAGGGAAATCTTGTGATTTCCAAAGACAAAAATTCTTCTGCTAGTTTCCATGGAAAATATAACTCTTCTTTCTGTTACAGATCAAGCACATGATGGCTTTCATTGAACAGGAAGCTAATGAAAAGGCAGAAGAAATAGATGCTAAGGTAAATAAACAGTTTTTGTATTTTTTCTTGTGCAAAACTCCATGAAAGATGTGGACTACTTCAGATACTTAAAAGCTCACTTCTGCCAAGCTTAGTTCATGACTTAGTTTCTCTTCTGTGCCTTAAACTTCTTTAAAGAGCCTGTATATAGCTACACACGCACACATATTAGATGAGGTGATGGGTCAGGGCAGAACTGGGGAACCTATAGCCCTTGAAATGCTGAACTGCCACTCAATCCTTCATCATTGGCCTGGCTGATTGGGGTTAATAGGAAATGAAGTCTAATATCTGGAGAGCGACAGACTCACCTGCCCTGCATTAGAGTGCCTGTTTAAAAGCTGCACACGGCCTTATCCCATGCTTTTTTACTCAGAAGTCAGTCCCACTGAATTCTGTAGTGTTTACTCTCAGGGAAGTATGCATAATTTGAAGTCTAGTGTTTCTCATTAGCTTAAGCCTTTCTTTAAAGACAGAAGTACACTTCCATGTACAAAGAGCTGTAGCACTTTGAATACATTTAACGTTTTGTATGTATTGAGGTAAAACTGCTTGTGCTTATGTTTTCAATATCTTTAGTGCTTTAAAACTCTAGTCTAAGTTTTATAATTCTTACCCAGCTTTATTTTAGTGGCAAAACCTGAGATCATCTTAAGCCAGTTTGAACCTAATTCTTCCTTACAGGCCGAAGAAGAATTCAACATTGAGAAGGGTCGCCTTGTTCAGACGCAGAGACTGAAGATCATGGAATACTATGAAAAAAAAGAGAAACAGATAGAACAACAGAAAAAAATGTATGTAGTTCAAAGTGACCAAGTTTGTTATACATTGTGAAAAAATGAAAATGTTAGTTTTATTGTTGAGAACCACCTCTCTCAACTAATGGAAAACATGGTAAAGCCAAATGCATGCTAAGTTTGAATACATTCTGTAAACTAAAACTTCTTTCACATGCTTACAACGGTGGTGGGATTTGAAGACCATTCAGAACTTCTCCAAATCAGCTTTAAACTAGATCTTGCTTCGTTTCAGTCGTAGCTGCATGGAGAAATGTCAGAGAGTTACCAAGTAGATGGAAAAACTTAGCATACATGTTCGTTTGTTGTCTGCAGCAAAATGAATTGCAGGCAAAGGGTGCAGCCCAGGGTTGCCCAAGCTTCCTGCTGCTTGCACGAACCAACTGCAGGCAGCCGCTCACGTTCCTGCCTCTCCTCTTCCCTTGCATGCCCAGCGGAAAGGGTTCTTCTGGTCACAGCACATGAGAGAGGCCTTCTGAACAAAATGTGTGCCTCACTGGTATCTGTTGTTTCACTGTCTGAAGTGTGCTGCACTCAGTATTGTTTTCCTTCTGTTGTGCAGTCAGATGTCCAATCTGATGAATCAGGCAAGACTGAAAGTTCTCAAAGCAAGGGATGATATGATTACAGTGAGTATATAATTTTCATAAGAATAAGGATTTCTTTCATTTCCCTGACAGAAAAATAGCTTCAAATTTTATTCTGTCCTGCCTATGGATTTCCAGCTTGCTCTCTGCTGACCCAGAGAAACACAAAGTAGAGATACCATCATTTTCCAGATTCGTTATTATAGCCTGCGATTGCTTTTCCCTAGTCAGCACGTGACTCCTCTACAGTTTGTTGTGCACAAAGAGGGAATACTGGTTGAGGAGTGTGGAAGTGCTATGTCTGAGTAGGAAACTCTTCCTAATTGATATGGCAGTTGATACTAGCCTAATTCTCATTGAGGCAGTAAACTTGTGTCTTGGTTGCACCATCTCAGATGAAAGCTCATAAGAGTGAATGCTCCTCTTTACAAAGCGGTTTCCTGCATATGGAAAATTAGGATGCCAGAAGGTGTTCTAACCAAACTTATCCCCGAGATGCAAGTTTTCTATATGCAGGAATCTTTTTTAAGGACAAACAAAGTGATGTGAGCTCCAGTCTGCAGTTGGAAGTAATAGAGCCCAGTCATAGGAGCCATTTCGGCAAGGGGCGGCATAGAAATGTTATAATAACAATAATAAAATAATAATTTTCTTCCTCCTTAAGGAGAGAGTCAAAGCTATACTTAAGACACTGTCTTATGTAAAGTTACTCTTATTTATTTCATTTCTGTACTGTCCCAGGTGCCTATCAGCAATCCATTCCCAAGGTTTTATCACACTTAAATAACTCTGGCACAGTGTCTCACAGTACTGTGACCAGGAAACAAAGGATGGGTGATTCAGACTTGGTTCTATGGGACAGTAAACGAAGCGCAGTCTGGGAGATCATTTTTATTTAAGCGACATTTTAATTGTTAATATTATTTGATTATTTTATCTGGCCAGGGCGACTTATTTTATATTGTTATTTCTTGTATTTTAACCTAATGTTGTGAGCCGCCCCGAGGCTTCAGCGAATGGGGTGGCATAGAAATGTTTTAATAAATAAATAAATAAATAAATTTTGAGAGCAGACTCTCATCCAAAAGACTGAGACTATTGTGGGCCGGGAACAGACAGAGTTTGCACCCCAGTAGCATCCCCAGATCTTCTCCTGCCCTCTAAGTTGTTGCATCCAGGAGGTTTTAGCTCGTGACTGGAGGACAGCAGTTTGGGCATTTCTGACCTGACCTTTCTCGTCTGCAGGATTTGCTCAATGAAGCCAAGCAGAGACTGGCTAAAGTCGTGAAGGATACTAGCAAATACCAAACACTTTTAGATGGTTTGGTCCTACAGGTAAATGCATTGTCCATATCTCTTTCCAGAACTTTCTGTAAAGTCAAACTTTTCCCACCACAGTTCTAGGTTCTGTTCTGTTTATACTATCAACCTTCTCTTGTGTTTCCAAGACAGCTTGAGTCAGCCACTCAGATTATAGGTTAGCCTTCCCAACCTGGTGACCTCCAGACATTTTGGACTACAAATCCTGCCCTTTCTGACTATTGGTAGTCCCAAAATATTTGGAAGGCACCAAGTTGGGGAAGGTGGTTACAAGCCATAGTATGTATGTTATTCGCGAACCCATGGACAACATGGACAGTGGAAACCCACTCTAGTATCCTTGCCATGAAAACCCCATGGACAGTATCAACAGGCAAAGCCATGGTATACCATCTATCAGTTACTAACCCTTGTGCTACATGAACTTGCCAAGTTCTTAGCTTGTTCATTTGGGGTAGTTCAAAGGCCATCAGAGGCGCTCATTCAGAAGGCTAAATCTTTTGTTAGCCAAAACAGAGCTTTTACAGCTTTGGTGCCCAGCTCTGCAGAGGCTGTTACCAAAGAAGCATTCTGCAGCTCACATTTTGTACTTTGGTAAACAATGTTAAACTGGTCTGTGTACTTGGCTCCAGTACAGCTTTAGATTGCCCTTGGTTTCTGTAGAGTGAACATCCATTACAAAAGTGTGTTATTTCTACCTTTATTATAATATACTATTGTAACTGTTTCTGTGTCATGATATCATAATTTAATTTGTTCATTAAATTGGGAGTCATGTTTTCTTCTGCTCTTATACAGGGATTTTATCAGTTACTTGAGCCTCAAATGACAATCCGTTGCCGGAAACAGGATCTTCCCCTGGTTAAGGTAAGGCTTCTCTGGATTTGGTTAGAGAAAATGGGCTTGAAGTAACATCTGGCACCAGGTGAGGTCCTTCAGTCCAAACTTTGCAAGGCATGATTGAAATATATTTCCATTCTTAGTTAAAAGCAACCACAAAGAAAATGAAAATTGATTGAAAAGCAGCATGGCCTGAGTGGGTGTTTACCTGATCTAAATCTCCTCTCTCTCTCCACATCCATCAGCTGCTACTTACCTGTTGTAGAAAACACACACACACACACCTATACTGTTCTGGCTTTGCCAAAGAGCTATGATGCTTTTGAAATAAGCACATCTATCTTTTATAAGGCCTCATCTAAAACAGATGTATGCATCTATCTGTATTCTGTGAACTAAGTAGTTAGTTGGACACACTCTTACAGGTGCCTGAATAAGGATCTGAAGGGCTGCCTTACACCATCACACCGTCTAGCTCAGATCCGTCTTTTCGTGACTGTGGCTCTCAGCAGGTTTTCCCAGCACCAGGCTATGCTTGTTCTTTAATAGGACCAGAAGGACAATGCAAAGCATGTGATCTGTGGCTGTCCTGTGAGTGGCCGGAATTCCCATATGCTCTGTCTGTTGAGTGGCTCGCCTTGTGGTATAATTGTGGGTGCGGAATAGAATTGTGGGTGGTTTTCCCACAAAATGTTACGCCTTCACATATGTGTATGTCCTGTTTCAGGCTGCAGTCCAGAAGAGCATCCCAATCTACAAAACTGCCACCAAAAATGAACCTGAAGTTCATATCGACCAGGAAACATTTCTCCCAGAGGACATGTAAGAAGTGTACAACACTTAAAGCGTTACCAGTGCGGAGTATTTTAGAGAGAACTTACACAAGGAAAGCAGTGTTAGTGACTGTTGGGAATTTTCCAGCATCATCTACAGTTCGACACTGCCCTGTGCTTGCTAACTTGCATTTTTGGCTAACTATTTCATATGCTATGCATAACTGCAGGGAAGAAACAACCATGATGCTGAATTACCTAGTTGCAGGTTACAGACTAATTCTTAGCCTCCAGATAGGTAGGATGTTATCTAGGCACTAGCATTCCCCTGAATGCTATAGAACTTACTTTCAAGTAAGGGTTAACCTGTGATCTTATGTATTCCTTGAAGTAAGTCCGATATTCTGGTAACTCTCACATCTCCATAGGATGGTCAGAAACATAATCTTTGTTCCAAATGATCACACTTCACCAGTTTGTGCTCCACAGCCATATAAAATCTTCACACACATTCAGTATTATAGTTCCTTTCAAATGAAAATTGTGAGCCAGTCACTTGCCATCCTGATCTCAGTGCTGGCCAAGGTGCCTGTACTCAATTAGGGATGTCTGGCTTGTGGGTCTCATCAATCCCTAAAGTAACTTTGTTTGCCTGCTGGTGTCCCTATCAAAAAGTTCTAGTCGCACTCATTTTCATGTGCAAAGAAAAGCAGAAACTTGTGTCTTTTATTCCACATAAGTACTTTTTGGTTTAGTACAAGTTCAGCAAGACAAGTACGAAAGTTGTACTCTGAGACTGTCCAGTAATTCCTCTGCCCCCCTTCAGTGATGATCTCAAACTGCTGAATACTTACATCCATACTATCAGTCCATCCCTGATAGGCAAAGCTAACATTTCATAGGGTTTGATCATCCCAGACCCTGGACTTGTTTGGGGGAGTGTGGCTACTTTCAAGAACATAGAAGCAGCACAGCAGCCTAGAAAGGAGAATCATATTTTTAAGCAGGCTTCTGCAAGCTGGTGTTCTTCAGATGTTTTGTACTTCGGCTGCTATCAGCATCTGCTAGCATGGCTCATGGTCAGGAAGATTCCTCTACTCTAAAGTGAGAGACACCAGCTTGGCAAAGGCAGCTGTCTAGGTTATCTCTCTAGCATTCATCTCTCTAGCATTCAATCTAGCATTCTCTAGCATCTCTCTAGCATTCATCCCCTGAAACAGTTGTTTGGGTGACTGGTTTCTTCTGTTAAGCTCTTGATAAGCGTGTTTGTTTATTTCAGAGCTGGAGGTGTTGAAATTTATAACAGCAACAATAAAATTAAGGTTTCCAATACTCTGGAAAGCCGTTTGGATCTGATCGCTCAGCAGGTAAGCCTGGAGAGGACCCTTCTATTCATTCTCTTTCCTTCCAATCAGCCAGACAGTCAGTGGGTGGACAGACTTCAGGCTTGTGGGATCTACTTTGTTCTTAACAGACCTCCAAGTTCCACCAGGAATGCAAACAGTCCCACACAATTCAAGGAATTGAGCCTCACAGTCCTTTAAAACCCAAACCCTGGTTATCTGGAAACTTTTCTTCAAGAGTACACTTTGGGCAATGGGGCAGGAAGTCATTTGTTTCTAACATTATTTAAAAAATTGGAGCCATAAATCTGATGAAATTGGCCAGTCAGAACAGCACCTTAAAGCAATTGCTGCAGCCACCCAGCCCACCGCTTTTACCTCCCTGGGCCCTCCCCTAACTGACATTATGCTCTGTTGAGGACCAGAGCGGTGTGTCAAAGGGCCATCTTTTTACTTTCACACAATGCCCCCAGTGTAGTGTTACTCTAGGACACTTAATGGTAGCGCCATCGGAACGTTGCTGCAGCCTGCTAAGCCCAAGCACTGGGAGGTTGCGCTAGTGGGCACTTTGCCAAGAGCTTCCTCATTCATGGAGTGCCCGGCTCTTTGGGGCATGTGAATGGACAAAAAGTGTCATTGTTATAGTGATGAGCTTTACTCCAAGTTCCCAGATATCTTCATGGACCATCTAACAAAAGAAGAAAAGTTTGCAAATATTATAGCACAGACTGCTATATGAACTGTTGGATCCAGCCACTTTTCTTGGACTGCAACTGACTCCATAGGTAGTGTTTGAAAAGGCTCAAGCCCTAGTACCAAAACATGGCCAAATAAAGAATTTTTTGAACTAGGGAGTACAATTAGGAAATGGATCTGGGCTTGGAAGACTTAGGGTGGAGGAGAGATCTGCTGCCCCATTTTTGGTTGCAAAATGAGCAAAGGTAGAACCCATATTCCAAGTGTTGGAACGAAGCTTCCAGGTAGACCAACCTAGGAGTGAATTTTGAGTGGTGATGGATTCTGTGGTGGTACTGCTTGAGGATTTGATGTTTCCTGAAACCAGCGTATTGCCTGAAGCCTGTTGATACTGACCATAACTGTGATAGTAGACTGAGAGCAGGGTTCCCCTCCATTTTGTGCTTGGAGGAAGTCCCACTGGAGAAGCCTTTCTGGGCAGATGCGCTCTGCCCCAAGAGTAATAGCTCAAATTGCTTGCTGTGACATCCGACACTTACTGTGAGGATGACAGTCCCACTTGCAATCCTTTCCCAGGAGGCGATCACATGGCCTAGAGAGGGCTGTTTCCATTGGCACCTCACAGTCTGCATAATGTAGCCTGCCTGTTCTTCCGTGTTGTCATCAAGGACTGCTCAAACAGCTCGTGACTTTTTTCTTTTGTTTCCCGCAACAGATGATGCCAGATATCCGAACGGCACTTTTTGGTGCCAACACCAATAGGAAGTTCATGGACTAACCTGCTTGAAGTAATGGTAGAATCTGTCCCACTGCTATAGTGAAGGGAGACGCGGGAGCATCTCTAATAAAACAGCACCCCCCTCTTTCAAAACTGCTCAGCGATATATCGTGTTGTCCTGTGTATGTTCCTCAGGTGCATTTTTTCCTAGCATACCTGCTACACTTAATCTGGCTGGGAGAGAGGCAGAAAGACCTCTTTGTCCAGAGAGCACAGGTATGCACTACAAAAATGGAAGCATTCCTGGAGATAGATCAAGGAGATGAGTTCTTTATAGATCACTGGTCCATCTCTGCTTTGATCGCTACCTTCGATGCATGTTGCCAATCTGTGCTGCTTATCTCCTGTTTCCCATCTATAGAAAAGCTCCTGTATAAAGTATACTTTTGTTTTGAGGGTCAGTGTAACTCAACTTGGTCAGCTTCAGGTTTTTGTTCTGTATATGTGGTTAAATTATACACACACACACACTTGAGTGCATACTCCCTCATCCTGTATTGGTTTATTAAAATAAAAGTGTGTGAAACAGTGTTTACTCCTTTGCGACGATACCTGGAGGAGCAGGTCTGTGAGGTTTGTCAAGCAACTGTACTACAAAGCTCCAGTTCAGTGCCTTCCCTGGATGTAGTTTCAGTTAGAGGAGTAAAAGATATTTGGAAAACAGTGCCACTACTACTCATGGGGAGGAACTTTATGGGAAAACGAAAGCCACTGCTTCAAGACCATAGTGGAAAAAATCCACTGTAGCCATTATTTACAAATACTGATTTATTAAGAGACAAGCTCTGCTCAACATTAGCAGAAACACTGTTAAGCTCAGCTTAACATTGGCAGACATGCCTGCCAAGCTGTACTGCTGTTAAGTTACAAGATGCAGTAGCAGAAGATTAAGAGGGGCTTGGCAGGCAGTAGGACAAGGACTGGCAAATCAGAATCCCACAGTTCAAGGAAGAGGCCACAGGCAAAAGAAGAGCAAGGTTCTGCTAAACTGCTATGTAGCTCCAGTACGTTTGAGTAACAAAGATTCTTCAAGGCACTTCCTGTTGTGTCTCAAAAATCTGGCATATGATTTCACCATATGAAACGTGACTTTTTAATAGCATCTTTTCAATCTTGCTTGAAGATGTTGCATTGGTGCAGCTCGTCTGCTATCATTTCTCCATAGGGAGAAAAGCAGTGGGGTTTGGTAAAGCACTGGGGTCTCCGTGCCACTCAGAATTCCATTCCAGCTCCTCCTAGTCCTGGAAATTGTTTTGCAGACTTTGCTTTCAGCTTTTCTAGTATTATCTTTGCAATGCGAGAGGGTCTGCATCTGAAGGAAAAGTGGTCGCTTGGATTATCAGGCACTTGATGGTCCTCTGTAGTGGACAGAAGCTTCTTTAGGAAGAAAAGCACTGATGAGCACAACAGTACAGAGTCTTACAGGGCATTGTCACAAAGCAGTTCAGCTGAATTCGTGCAACCTTGAGCTGGAGTCCCTGCAGCTGGAATTGGCCTTACTTCAAGAACCCCAAGATATATTCTCCAATGCCAATGAAATAGACCCCCTGAGCTATGCCAAACAGAGGGGCTATCACAAGCGCGCGGCAGCCCGCTCCCTTCATGAATGCAGCGGGGCCTTCGTGGGTCCAGATCTTCCTGCAGGGGAAAAACACAGTGGGTTGATTAAGTAATTCTGAGTCGTTTCAGCTACTAAAAATTGGGGATTCGAGTCAGCCACAAAAGGGCTCTGCGTAGAATACAGGCTTCACTGGGGAGGCAGCGACGGCCCCTGATACCGCCTCTCGTGCCTCTCTCCTGTCCGCTGCAGTCCATTCCCCGCCACCACCACATCCATCAGTCCGCATTTTGTAGCCACTGCGCCTGCTGGGGTTCTCACCGGGCTATAAGTAAAGGCGAGGGAGCCCCTTAGGTTTTTTACTAAATAGTTCTGGTGTTCCTACAAGTGTTGGAGTTTCCAGAAGCCTGCTCAACCTGTTTCTTGTATGTGGACGGCGATGATTTAGTTGCATAAGAATCCATACCAGGAGTGTAACTTTGCCACTGGTATAGACCGGGTGGCCAAACAGGCTTGGGAGCCACATGCAGCTCACTGAGTTCATTTTTGTGGCTCACCACGCTGCCACAGGTGCCCCCTCGCCACTCACTGCCACCCGCAGAGGCTTGCTTGCCGCCCTCAAACACCTGTCTTGCACCATATGTGGCTCTTCCTTTGAGCAAATCTGGCCACCCCCTAGTAGTTTACAGCTAGTAAACTACTAGTTCTGCTTACCTGGTGCAGTCAATGATTCCATTGTAGGTATCTTCTCCCAGGCCTTTCTTGAGAGTTTGAATGCGGGTTTTTAGAACTAAAACAAATGATTATTTAATTTAAACTAATGCACTGTTAACTGGCTTGTAGAGTTTATTCTTTGTATACTGATATTGAAGTGTAAATTTTGATTTGGATTAGCTCTGTAATTTTGATAACAACATGAGCATTAACGGTTGTCCAAGGGCGTGTGAGGATTCCCCAAGCACCACCTTTTGGAGCCAGGCGGCCATCTAAGCAGGAGCAGAACCACGACAATGCAGCGCCCTCTACTCTTAACCAACCCAGAAGACACCAAGGCCGATGGTATTGAAAACTGCTGAGAGAGATCTAGGAGAACCAACAGCGTAGCACTTCCCCCTCTCTGTCCTTACAGGACAACCAAAGCTGTTTCTGTGCCAAAACCTGGCCTGAATTCTGCCTGAAATGGATCCGGATAATCAGTCTCATGCAGGAGTGCCTGGGGCTGGTTGGCCACTGCACACACTCTTGCCCAAGAAGGGGATGTTTGTCACCCACGTAAAGATAAGATCTGAGTCCAGAGAAGGTTTCTTTAGGAGTGGCTCCACTACCACGTAATGCAGGGGTCATGTGACCACTCCTTCCTGGAAAGAGGCATTAATCACCTCCGTGGCCTAGCCAGCTGCTTTCTTCTTGCTAGCTTTTAGCAAGAGGGGCAAGGATCCGGCACGGATGTGGTTGCACAATCCTGTCCAAGCACTTTGTCATCATCTACAAGCTTTACTAACTGGAACTCATCCACGAGAAGTTGGTCAGGTTCTGCTCTAGATACCCCACCTGATTCCACTGTGATAACATGGGAGTTCAAGCCCCAGTGGAGGCAAGCAATTTCGTCCTGGAAGTATCTAGCAAATAGATACTAGTCCACCCAGCACCCTATCTCCTTCTACACATCACTCACTAGCTGGCCTGCTTAGTCCCATACCCTCCCTCTACTGTACGAGCTCAACATCTGTGGAGGAGGAGCAAGCCTCCCCCAAGAGACTGGAAGCAGACAGGTGTGTGCAATGTTAGAGAGGGGATCCTTACTTTTGTGTCCCACCAAAACAGCTTCCCCCAAGGGGCAGCCCTCTTTGGTGTTGTCCCTTTCAGGGCTATTGTCACCCCTCTTGCCAGCAGCTCCAACTCCCAGAGCCCAGTCCAGCCAGCAACACTGTCAGCCAGAAGGAGAGGCCGGATGGCGTGGGTGCCTCTGGGAGAGGCCAGGCCAGGTGGGAAAGGGCTGGCAGGATGGTAAAGCCAGCGTCCTGAACTTCCCTGGGAGAGTCCAGGTTTGTCTTCGGTAGCTGCAGGCACCAGGTCTAATAACCACAGCAGTGCTGTAAGGTAGCCCAGCAAGGCTCCAAGGATTCCCCCCAAATGGTGCCATCTCATTTTCATGAGGGTACCTATTGAACTCAGGTTTCAATTGAGACCTCTAGCTGAAAGACTGAGATTTTAACTGAAAAATAAATCTACAAGTTCTGCCATGAATCTCGGAGTAGCATATACAGTTCTTCCCCATATCCAGTAGGTAGCTTAGGCTTGGGATAGACTTGGTCCATGATCATCCCCCGTCTGAGCAGTGATTTAAAGCCAGGCCTCTCTGTCCAGGACAGTGTTGCTCCAGGCAATGTTTACTCATTTGAGAGCCAGTGGTTAGAATGCTGGACTGAGGGGATCCAGGCTCTGGTCCCCATGCAGGTGCATGGGAGTCTTTGGACCAGTCAGTGATTCTCAGCCTAACCTGCATTACTGAATTGCTGTGAGGATTAAATGGAAAGGAGGAGGACCATGTAAGGTGACTTGGCTCCTTGCAAGAGAAAAAAGACTGGGGTATAAATTTAACAGTAGCAGCAGCTATTACCACCTCTACGACAGCTTGTAAGAAATATTTCTTCCTGGGGTAAATGCTGTGTGAGATCAACCAATTATTCTTAATAGCTGGGAGCCACCTCATATATTATTCTCTGAGAAAAGGCATGTGCAAAATGCAGATCATTTTGCCAAGTGCATGAACCCAGAAAAGTAACTTGTAAAGCAGCCCTGAAAGAAGCTGCATGATCTTGGAGCTGCTTTGAGGAGCCCTGGATCATTCACTGGTGGCATCATGGCCAGCGTTTGTAAGGAAACCAAACCAAAGGAAAAAGCCCCGCACCCTCATCCCAACTCTTTCACAGGAGCCTAATACCTACCATCCAGGGGAGTCACTGCCACTGCAGCCACTGATCCTGCCCCGCAGCCAGACAGAAATGAATGCAAGAAAGAGGCTTTTTCTTCACTGCTCTCCTGCCCCAGCTTGTTAATGTTGGCAAACAGTGGAAAATAAATAATGGAAAAAGGCACATCTCTGTTGGGAGTGCAAGTAGGATACTGTAGGTAAACAATAGTAGTTGACTGATTCCCCCCTTCCCAAAAGTCTCTTGCTGAAGGCTGTTTTTCAGACCTAGTTGTGTGGATGAACAATAAAAGTGCTCTTTCCCTTTCAGAAATTGCAACAGTCACAATGCAATCAGATGAAAGTCTATGTAGTTTTGGGCAAAAGCCCCAGCTGCAGTGCAACTTGAATCCAAATTCCTATGCCCAGAGAATATTCTGAAGGCAAATGACATTCTCGATGGCTAAAACTAAGCCCTTCTGGCGCTTTAAGCTGTCTCAGTGAAAGCCCATTGGGAATCACATATAAACTATGTTATGCTCTTTGGATGAAGAACTGGGGACAATAAACTAGTGGCTATTATTCCAGATTAGCAGTCACGAACCTAGGCCTGTAAGCCCCAGGACTGCTCTCTGTACAGAGCCACAGTGTCTGTCCTGGATCCAGCATTCCACATACACACAGAGCAGCTTTGCAAGCAACCAATTAGCCTATGTGCACGGAGCTGTCCTTCATCCTGAAGTCAGTGGAGTCTTAAGCACACAGGAGATCATGTGGAGCACCTGAATCCAGGTGCTGCTTAGGAAGCCAAAGCCCTCCCTTGGGTTAGATAAGCAAATGCTTTCCCAATATGAAACATGTGGAAAGGAGCACAGTCTTGCCTCCAACCCATGGTGCAGAGACCAATATGCAAAGACTGCACATCTTGTGTGCAATCTCCCCCAGGTTTTCTTTCTCCGGACGACTAAAGGTTGCCATCCTATGAAGTCAGGAAAAGGAGGTCCCACCGTCTTTTCACCTGAGCAGGGTGGCTCCTAGCCCTTTATACAGGCCTGCTAGTCCCTGGGTGCGCAGGAGATCCCTGGCAATCACGATGGCGGAGGGGCGATTTGAGGGGGGCGAGTGCCCAGGAGGCAGACGGGAGGAGGCGGCAGCTGCTCCATCCTGTCCCAAGGCATTTTGCTGATGAGCAGCTAATAGAAAACAGGAAAGAAAACTTAACTGGATTTCACCAGTGGATGGACATATTTGTCTCTTTCACCTTCCTCTGCTTCCGACTTGGAAGCACACATTCATTCTATCCCATTTCCACATTACTTTGCTAAAGTTTTGATTGAAAGTCAGCATGAAAACCTGTATGCATTTTTGTACACGATTCTCTAATATTTACATTTGTGAACACCATTTCCTCTAACATGCATTTTGGGCACGCAGTTTTCTCTAACATGGACATTTTAGAGAGCTTTCATTCACAAGTGGGAGACGGCCTGAAGGCACATAGCAACTGCAGCAGCAACAACATGCATTTTTATAGACAGCTTTTGTCTACAAACTGCATGAAAAAGTTCAGAGATGTGTGAAAACCCATTTGTAGAAAAACCCTGATTTACATATCTATTAAGTCAGATTGGCTTGTATTAAAATGTAAACCAAGCAAATTTCCCCCCATTCCTAATCTGTTTGGACCTGTGCACACACAACATATTTTCAGGACTAGTGTCAACATCAATCAATTTTATAATGTCATCTCTACAGTCTATGCAATGGCGATTGAAAAGAAGCTAAGGGACAAGGCAGAAGGCTCTCCCCTATGAACACAGGAATGAGAAGGGGAGGGGCTCCCATCCAATCCAGCACGCTGAGCTATTGCCTTTATCTACATCTTGTGCAGGCCCCCAAGCTCATATGTGTGATGCACAAAAACCACAAAGAAGAACATACTTTTATGACCAGTGCCAGTATCAATCAATTTTATGTGAGCTCTAATGTAATAAGAATCCATGGCATCCTTTAATTAGGAGAGATAAGTGCTCCTGCAGACAGTGTTTCTGGGGACTCTTGAGCCATCTTCCCCAATCTGGGTAACCTCCTTTGCCCATGCTGACTGAGAATAGTAGGAATTGCAATCCAACACATCTGGGAGAAAGGTTGCCTGAGAGCATTGAAGCCTGCCTTCTTGTGAAAGCCGTAACACCGAGACTTTCAACAGCAGTCCCTCAACATTGCACATGTGCAAAGAGGATATAAGTTGCTTAGTCGCCTACACAAGATGACTACTGATGGCCCACAATGCATTGCGGCCTGTTGCCTGCTGTGTTCATTGACCCTGCAAGAGCCTGCCCTGTTCTGGTTTAAAACCTAAGGAAGCTGCTTTTCTAGTATACCTGTGGTGCAAAGGAACACATGGTCTGACGAGCGCTGCCATGGCTTAACAGATGTTTCAGCTCCTGCAGGCCAAGAAACAGCCCGTTGAGCTTGGCATAGTGTCCTGGTGCGCATCACATGCATGCAGGCTAAGACCTTTTTATTGAAAACTGATTTTAATTGTTAACTTATTATGTATTTATAGGTTTTAACATTTTAAGCCGAGATGTTACTGGGCTTTTTAATTTTTAATTGTATTAATTGTTGCTTATATGTTTTAATTATGCTGTGAGCCACCCTGAGGCTTTGTTGCGATGGGGGAGGCATAGAAATGTTTTAAATAAATAAATAAAATTTATCCATATCTGCAACAGAGGCCAAACACAAGCTCCGTCTGAGTCCTGTTTGCCTGGCAGTGAGAGGCCTGGAGAGGGAAAGAACCGGGTGGAAGGTGGGTGATGTCGTGGGAGGGACTTCAGAAGAGAGTCCCTGCCTACTCACATCATCAGACCCACTGGTTTGGTCTGGGGGTGGAGGTCATGTCGCCTGCAAAATGGTTTGCCCCACCCTCGGCTCTAGCAGCGTATTCACAACTCATTTCCAAGGCGCACACACACACCAGGCTTACCGGGGAGGCAACAAAAGCTCACAGCTGTGCCTGCTACGGCGAGCTGCTGCAAAGGACACAGAACCACGCAGCGCTCCCCTTCCTTGGTCACAAAGGGCCTCACCTAGCCGTCCAGCATCCTGCAGCTGGATCTTCAGCATCTCCATTGGAGAGGTGACCACCACCTGGCACATCCCAGCTCCGCAGCCAGCCAGCATCTCCCTCGCCAATGGCAATTCTTTCCTGCGGAGAGAAGCACAAATGCCACAGGACAGCTCAGAAGCGGCTCACGGAGCTCGTTCAGGCTTGCCAAAAGACCAAGAAAGAACATGGCTGGCCCGTTCCTCTGCCTGCCACAGCAACGCGAGGTGCAGAAAGCAGGCAGCGAAGCGACTCACAGCCTGGAGAGAAGCAGCTGCCCATATTTCCACTCCTGCGCTGAGTGACTCCCTGGCTGCTGGTAATGGCGACCAGAGCAGCCCCAGGTGAGCCGTCTAGCTTGGAGATCATGCCTACAGTTGAGCTGCAAGTATGGAGACGCAGCATCCTCTCTGACTCCAAGCTACAGAGAAAGGTCAGGATAGTGGTAAGGAACTGAGGAGCTCCTGGGGCCTTGGTCTGCGTGCTGGCGAAGCGAGCCCCCATCTTTCCCTTTCCCTCTGGAGAGGAAGGTTGGCCCTTTTGACCACGGTACGTGGCACACCTCAGCCAGCCCACACTAAGACAAGCCTTTGCGCCTTTCCCACAGGTCAGGGACTAAAGTTGCAATCTGATGCACACTTACCTGGGAGTAAGCCCTACTGAGCACAATGGGGCTTCCTTCTGAGTAAATGTACATAGGACTGAACCGAAAGGAAGTGGAGTATGATTATGACTTTTGGTTTGCTACCAAGGCCAGACAAAATCTCTGAACATCTAAAGATGATCATGATTTACCCAGAAGATCAATGGTAAAGGGGCAAAAGTAGGAGCTGGTTGAAATGTTGACAAAATGGACAATTGTGCCAATACATTCTTCCCACCATGTTTTGATGCCTGTTTATCAAAGGAAACTAGAAATCATAAAAGCAAGTAAAGCATCTTTTAAAGATCATTAAACATAACTTTACATATTCTGAAAATACCACCAGCGCTAAAACACAACTGCTTCCAAGCACCATAATAAGTGTTATCAAACTATTTTTGCCTTTTTTTTGTTTGGGACTTCTACAACTGCTTTTAAAAATCTTCCTTGTTGTTGTTCAAATACTGGCAACCTTCTTGGCTGCACCCATGATTACTTCCTGGGAAAGCGATGTTGTAAAGGAAACATTCTTGCCCAAGTGGTGGAAGGTAGTCAGAGTTGTACCCATATCAATTTATCCTTTTAAATCTATCCTTTATTCCTTGAAATGCATCTGACTTTCACTGTGTATTTCTGTTCCTTAAAGCCTAGTGAGGCAAGCACAGCAACTATAGGAGAGAAGTTTAATTTTAAGCATACATTTATGGGAAATTTAGCATTCCTTTTTTTCTGGAATGATATCTTAGTTCCCCACTCCTGAACCCACTTATGCGTGGGAAGGGCAGTACCAAAATCTTTAAAACAAATAAAGAAACTATATGTACATCTGCAGAGAGTTCTCATCAGCAACAACACAGAGCAAGACAAGAACATGTAGTAATTAGACCAGTGGCTCACAGTCAATACATCGCCCTCATATATTTTAGGCTTCAGTGTTCCTAGGAAGGAAAAACCCACATTGGAGCAAGATTAAAGGCAGAGCGCGCTGTTTGCCTCATACCCATCCTGGGAGAGCAGCTGCCGGAAGAAATCGTTGGCAGCCAACTTGATCGCTTTCTCAGGCGTGACGAGAGTTAGGTTCACAGCGGCTCCTGTGAGAGGATGGGAGAGGCAGGTGGTCTTGCATTATGGTGCATTAACAGCAATGTCTTCTGAACACACACGCACATCCCTGCCCTGAAGGTTTCCAATAGGATTTACTCACTCATTTATGTATTTGACTTGCATGCCACCCCATTAGCCATAAGGCCCTTAAGCTAGAATTAAAATAGCACATAATACACAATATGCATAATACTTTTAAAACAGTTTATAATATAAAAACAACAGTAAAATAAAATCAATAATAAAAATAGACATAGCATTAAGTAATCAATAACTTAAGCTATTATCATCTTAGTAAATTTAAGCTAAATAAATAAAATACATAAGATAAAAGCTGGTGCAGGCAGCAGCAATTAGCAGCATAAGCTATTGAGACCATAGACCAAGGGCTCACCCACTGAAGTAATGGTGAAAAAGCAAAGTTTTTAATTGGTGCCTAAAAGAGTAAAGTGATGGCACCATCTGGATCTCTGATGGAAGAGAGTTCCATAACTGGAGTGCTACTGCAGAAAAGGCCCTTCTCTTTTGCCATTTCCCCCTTTATTTCATCAGTGGAGGAATGCAGAAGAGCGCCTTAGATGATCGGGTTGGTATATATGGTGATGGACATTCCTTCAGATAACCTGGCCCCAAGTTGTTTAGGACTTCAGGGGCTATTGTAAGCACCTTGATTACAAGCAAAAACAGTGCATTTTCATAGATGCAAGATACTTCCACAATTCAGTGATACAGAAAAGGCCTTCAGTTTTTACGGATTACCTCGATACATGCCGAAGAACCCATCCGAGCGAATAGTTTTCACCAAGCAGTCCCACCTAAAATGAGAGAGAGTGGGTGGGGAGAGAGCATGCATGCATGCTAGGCATTCCAAGGTTCTAGATTATATTTATGACTATCTCACCGCTCCCTCTTCTCCGTGTTCTCTGTTCAGAGTTTGGTGCGCAGTTACATGGTGCAAGGGCCTTCTTCTTTGTGGCACTGTATGTCTAAAACACTCATCCCAAATATTTCTCCTCAATCTTTACTGGTCATCTACACTGTGGAATTTTGATCAAGATGCAGAACACGGATACATGAGCAGACAGCTAAATAAAATAGCCAACCGTTGGCTATTGTCCTCTCTTAAAGCTAGCTAGTCTAAGCCTGAGTGAGCAATATTTTGGGGCACAGGGGCACATTTGGCAACTTGAAAGACTTTCCTGGGCATCACCACTGAATAGCCAACAGGGGAGGTGTTGGCAGTTACAAAGAAACCTGCCCAAATGACTGTCTACACAGCATGCCACAACATGCTTTTAACACACAATTTCCAGCACCAGCCTAAACCTATTTCACAGAAAGCCACTCTTTCTCTCCCCCTATTCCTCTGCTGGCCAACTAATCTCTCTCTTTGCTTTTTCACTGTCATACCAGTACCTCATGCATGGTGCATGTATATGCAATACACTTTTTCTCATACACCCTGATGGGCATCAAGAGAGATGTCCAGGAAACCTTGTCTGAACAGTAGCCCAGTGAACCAAGTTGTGACTTTGTTGGGAACTCACTAGATCAACCTTCCTCAACTTGGTATCCTCCAGATGTTTTGGATTTCAATTCCCATTGTCCCCAGTCAGAATGGCCAAGGATCAAGAATGCCAGAAGTTGTGGCCCAAAAATTTGGAGGCCAACAGGTTGTGGAAAGCTGCACTAGGTGGCCTTCAGCACACCCCTTTCTCTCGACCCCCAACCTGCCAGCTGTATTATGTTACTCAGGCAATATATGTGAAATACTTCAGATCTCATAAAATATTCTATAATTGCTCACCATTAATTGGAAGGGCAGTTGTGTTAGTCTGTTGCAACAAAACAACCAAGACGCTTGCAGCATCTTAAAGTCTAGCAGATTTACTGCAGTATGATCTTTCATGGCCAGGAGCAGGTGCTTCAGGGAGGTGAAGGCAACAACATTTTGCAAGTTACTTTTTGCTTCTCCCTTGGGTACATTTTTTTCTCTCATCCAAGGGATGTCTTTCCCCAGGGGTAATCCTACTCCCCTTCTTCTTCACCACCCTGAGCAGCCAGCACAGCTTTTCAGAGAGATGGCCAGGACAAATGCCCAGCTCTGAGCACCTTTCTCACAGGCAGGTGTTGAGGGAGAGGGGATCAGGGGAACATCTGCAGACACTCCTCCCATCATGCTTGGCTCTGAGCCAGGAATTTTGTCTGGTCAGCTTTCTGAAGAGAGGCCAGGGTGGCTGTCCAGCAGGGGGCTCTTCCCAAGAGTGGCCCACCAGACATTCTGTTGCTGCAGAAAATGCCCTGGTGGAGGAACATCTGGCAGAGCCCTGCAGGGCACCTGCTGGCGGCAGCAGTGGTGATACCTCCTGGTGGGAGGGGGGCCAGGAGTGGGGGCAAGTGGTGTCATCTCTGGTCCTTCTGCTGTGGTACCTGAGGCAGGGGCTCCACTCTGCATCGTGGAGGGACCTCAGGAGATGCAGGCTGTCGGTGGGGTCGAGACCAAAGAAGGTGAGGCAGAACAAAAAGCGGGTGGGCCACCTCCTTTTGTCTCTCCCCCTTGTTCTCTTCCTTTTTCTGTAGGTTCTACCTTTATCAGAGAACATGACGTGTGATCCTCAGCCAGCATCCTATCTGGCCTGAGACATTCTTCTGCTGAGCAGAAGTACTAATGGTGCACATGCTCCGTATACGGAAGCCAAATGGACTGGCAGCTGGCTCATTCTTCATCACTGGTAATGAGACAGATCGAGGGACGGCAGGTTGGCACAAGTCAGACTGCCTGGCACTCCCAGCCGTTCCGAGACCAATCCAAAGTAACCTATTTTGCACATCTTTTGAAGCAAACTCTAGGCCACAAAAGCTTATGCATTGAAAATGTCTTTAAGGTGTCACGAGACTCTTCGTTGTTGCCACATATTTTGCAATTTCCAAAGAGAAATTGGGTTGTCTTGAAACAAAGGCATATATGTGTATAAACATGTGTGTTAACTGCCAAAACCGGCCTGGAAATGGCTTCCAGATTTTCCCAAACAAGACACACTTTTTGCAGCAGAACCTGAAATGCGAGACACTGATTAAGTTCTCAGGATGTATAAAATACTGAAGACCGAGAACATTAATTACATAATATTATCCAGGCAAATGATCTTTGCGAAATAGGAAGCAAAGATAGGAAACTTGGAAAGATCTTGGCCATTCCCAACACGATATATAGAAGATATATAATTAGAACAAGCTTGGACTTCCTTAAACTCTGGTCTGGATGTTCTCTACCATCCCAGATCATACTAAATCAAACTCTGGCATACATACATTCCAGTGTAGATTGTTCGTCCTTGTTGGTTCTGAAGACGGGTTTTGGCCAAATCAATGGGGAAAACACAAGCCACACCCACAAGCCCTGCCACACCTCCATTGATTAACTTTGCTGGAAGGCTGGAAAGAAGGAGAAAGTTTAGCAAGTTTTCAGCTGATACCCACCAAGCAGGCCTCATCATGGCTTGGGGCTATCTTACTGCTTGATCAACATGAAGCCTTTTAAAATCTCTGGCTGACGATCTGGAAGAACTTCCTGAGTGTAAGAGCAGTGCAATAATGGAACTGACCACCTAGGGAGACTGTGGGCTCTCCTACACTAGAGGAATTCAAGATGCAGCTGGGTAGGCCTCTGAGAGTAATGGCTTAACTTGGGGTCCTGCCCTGAGCTAGAATTTAGCTCCAGTGGCCTTCCTGGCCCCTTTCAATTCTACTAATCTATGATTATATATATAAATCAAATGGGTTAAACAGACAGGGCATTAATTATCGCAGGATGGGCAGACATCAGAATTAAAGACCAGAGTGCTTCTCAGCATATTCTATGCTTCTGAAATTGCTTTCAAGCACCAGAACCTAACTGAATGTACAGGTTTTTTCACACACATATCTGCTTCTTCCTAAGCTTTCTTCATTTCAGCAGTCTAATTTCAATGGGAAAAATCATATTCCTGTTGCTGTTGTTAACTGGCAGTCAGAAACCTTTGCCAATCTAGTGCAAATCATCTGGAAATCTACCTTCACTATCTTATGCTCCTCCCACACCCTGTCCACCAGCTCCCAGCTGACAAGCATCATTTGCATTGCTGGAGAGCGGAGTCCCACACTATAAAAGAAAAGAAGCAAAAGGCGCTGACCTAATCTTCTTCTTGTTCCCCATTGCTCCTTGGGGATGTAGTTTTGTGGTGGCAACAGCTGCTGACACAGGAAAACTCTCAAGCACAGGCGTGTTTTCCTCTTTGCCTCTGCTCACCTGGGAGAGAGAACATCATTACTGCCTCTTTGATATACTACTTGCCAGGGGTGTAATTCAGGTAACAAATGGCATTGTCAGTTCAAAAGGAGAATGGCCCTTTATCATTTAATCAACTCCAGAAGAAGACTTGTAAGATCTTTAGTGAAGTCAGATGGATAGATTCTCTCCACAATGTTTTCCCGCTTAAACCAGGTTGGACTATTTCCTGTTCTCTCCTTGCTGCTAGGATGTACGTTCCCCCACCAACACTCCCAGCGGAGCGCAGATGTGCCATGAATCCACGGAAGCTCGGAATAAGAATTCAGAGCCACTAGAATGAAAAGTGCACCACGATCTTCCAAATGTTTACTCAGAAGAAAGCCAGTTGAACGGCTGCTCTGAGATAAAGGAAAGGGGTTTGGGATTCACCAGCCCCAAAGCGAAGAGAAAAAGATGAGGCACTTGAGGTGCTTCTAGATGAGACTTCTGCAGTATAATCTGAGACAAGAAAAATGTCCTGCAACTGATCCCCGTGTTTTCCTACCCTGTCTTCCATCTTTTCCCTCCATAGAAAATCCATGGTGATTGGGGGGAATAGAAACTCTAGCCATTGACATCTATTTGGAAGCACCCCGAGACCTGCAGAAGGGCTTTTATCTGTAATACAAGCCATCCTGGGAATTTTTGAGTCAGCATTTTGCAAATGAAGTCCTTGGGAAATCCACAGCATACTGAAAATTATGGGGTTGGGGCAAGGGACCCACGTGGAAGGAAGGGAATGTGGGCAAAAGCAAACCCAAGGAAACCAATAAAAGGCTTGCGAGCATCAACCAGCTGTTGCACTGTTCAAGCCTGTATTAGTCACCACAGAATTTAGTAGGGAAAGAGTGACTGGAATTTCTAGATTTATGGAATTGACACAGATCCCTGATGTGAGATAGCTAAAGGTACAGAAAACTGAGATTGCAGTGATCAAGCAAAGGTTTCACAGAGATGTGCTTTAGATGACTTGCTTTGGATGAAGAGAGAGAAGCAAGCACAAAATAGCTGTTTAGTACATTCTTCTTTCAGATCACCAATGTTGCATTTTTCTGAAGGTCAGAAATTCCAAGATTCACTGAAACAGGTTTTTATGAAGTAGTAGTTGAAATGAGGTCCACAGATCAGCGGGAGAAATGTGAGGTTGACTAATCTTCTCTTTTTGGTTGTGCCTGAAGGTGGCAGCAAAAGCTCCTCAGAAGGCCGGAAAAGAACATTAGTGAAGCCATCCAGGGAGGGGATGTTCACAATAAAAATAGCTGCCCACTTGTAAGTGGGTTGGGTAAGCCTTGATGCTGCCTTAGTCATTGTTAAAGACCTCGTGTGTTTATGGGCATCATTGTGTTATGTAAGCCGTGCTAAAACAAGCCAGGCAACAATTTTTGCAAGCCTAATGACTCACACACAAAGAATGAATCATGTACAAGCAGTTCGCATTATCTAGTAACATGTTTGCTAGGAAAACTCTCTGGATCTGCATGCGTGACCAAAATAGCACTGCTGGTATTAGTCACCACCATTCAAATGTCCATAAGCTCTATTACCAAAAGTGGTTACAGTGACTTGATTTTTGTTTTGTTTATGATATGGATCGTGCGTTTCTGGCTGCTGGTGCCCCCATCCCCAGCAATCCATCCTAGCAGTCTTCTCTGAATCAAGAGAACTAGCCCCTTGTATGAGTTAGTTTTGGTACAAGGCATTTGCTAAGGGGCTGTCTGCGCCACCCATTCTCACCAGAGAAAGCAGGAAGCAGGAGCAGTTCAGCCCACAGAAACAATGCACAGGGTAATACAACATTACACAGGCTGCTAAAGCTATGCAGACTGCTGAAGTGTGATCACAGCAGCCCGTATGCCTTTCTCCAGAACTGGCATTTGTGACCCGTCTGACCTGTCACGCGATGTAACTCCTGCACAGGTATTGCATAGCTGCCAGAAATCAATGTGTAATACACACACACCCTGCGAAATCGTCAAGCAGTGAGCTCATACTACAATCACATTCCAGAAGCTGTAGCTGCAGAGTTTATCCTGCTCAGTGAACCTGCAAAGATGTGAAGTCTCCCATTGCTCTGTGCACCCAGCTGCCCAGAGAAGGGTGCTGACACCTCCAATATTCCTGACTGTTGACCATGCTTACGGGAGATGAAGACCTAAACTTCTGGTGGGCACCAAATTGAGGGAGGCTGAGCTAAGCCAATGGCGGCCAGAAAGACTGTAGCACGTGTGGTCGGGCAAGGCTCACCTGATCAGAACAGATCAGAACTGCAGGATGTCGAAGGTAGGATATTTTGCTGTGACTTTTGTTTAAGAGCTTCTCTACATGATGTGCTTCATCTGCTGCTGTATGGAGGCTTCTTCCATTTTCATTCTGAAGAAAAATGTATCCTTTACATCTGGCTTTTTCATGGGCTTTGTATTTTTCTGCTTATTTTATTAACCCATCATCAGTTGGTGACGTGGTATAACAGCAGCACAGTGGATTTTCATCTTTTAATGAGACTTTTGTTCTGGTTTGTTGTGATTTAAAATTTAATATCAGATTTTCCTCACTCTAAAACAAACCTGTGAGAAAGGATGAAGAACTTGGGAGAGACCCTGTTAGAAAAAGACGGTGTGAAAAGTCCCCACTAACTTTCACAAGTGACGGATCACAAGTTTACAACTGACAACTCTTGCAGAGAAGCCCATTAGTCTGTTATCAGAAGATGGCAGAAAGATATGGCAGTTTTGCTATTGACCCCTTGCTCATGTCAGTCAATAAGCCACAATTTTACAGGTGTGTCATTTGTGTGGATCCTGACAGTAAGACAGGTAGGTTTTTTTGGGGGAGGGGGTCTAAATAAATTTGGATAATCCAGCTACCTCTCCATTCAGAATTTCACTGATACTAAGTATTGGGACATAAAGCGGCCCTGAGCCCCACCTTGGCAAGCTACAGAGCTGTGGATATGCCATGGAATCGTTGCTTCTCAAAGCTTGTCCAACACAGATAGGTAACACAGTCATGGAAGGTGCAATTGACTTTCCCTTGATAGCATCCAGAAAGCCTCACCTGGCAGTGTGGGGAGAGAAGCAGGCAAACTTGCAAGAAAGAAAGCATTGCTGATGTTACTACTTTATCCGGAAACTGGATTTTATTTTATTAATATTTAATATGAAAATTCCCAAGAAGTTTAATTTAAAAATTGAAGTTTCTAGTAATTCAGTTTGCTGCAGAATGTTTTAATATCTAGTATCTGCATAGCCTAGAAAGAAAACCCTTGCTTAGAGTTAGTTTACAGAGTCAAGAGTTAGAATTTATAATATTGAAGATTTGTCATTTGAAGTTCCAACTCTGCTTGATCCTGTGTTGGATGGTTCTGTAGATTCTGGCTCCCCTTCAGTACCAAACTAAGTTGAGTTCTTCAAACTGTATCCTCAGTGCATAAATGCACATTTTTTTGTCACTAGTTTCACCTTGAAATATCACCAACTATGTCCTATACATTTTCACCTATTTTCTTAGTGTTAAGAGCTAGAAACTTACATGCATGTTGAGACTATCAGAACATTAAATTCTCTAGCAGTTTCTGCACTTGCTAAGCTGAATAAATTCTCTTCTCTTTGTTGGGTATGTCTACACAGGGATTTACGGAGGAGAAATGCTATGTATTGATGCAGGCTTACCTAGATGTGATGGTTGGTGCAGATATCTGCATCTAGAAACTATGAAAAACTGAAGTGTGGACAAGGACCATTGTGTAGCATTGTTACAGAAGTGAGAAGGGGCAACACCACCCCACTACCTGTGGGAAATTTTTATCTGATTTCAAAATGTGTGCGCATGTGCGCATGTGTGTGTGGGGGAGGGGGAGTAATTTCCAGTTGAACAGTTTCCCCTCCAAGTCTGTTTGTAATGTATAAACAATGGCAAAATATGTAGATTGACTCTGAAATAACAAGCATTAAACACATCACTGTGAATAAAACACATGTGCCGAGCTAGAAGTCAGAAGAGGGAAAAGAAAGGCCGCTTACCTTCCTTGTTTGCAAGAGACCGGGTTCCTCCCTTCCTCCCCTCTCTCTCAGCGCTAAACATCTGACTCACATCTGAATTCCTCCCACTAACAAAATCCATTCCATGTTTAAGGGACAGTTCACAAATTCCCAGTGATTTTATTCAAACATATAGTAGTGGGAAAAGCAAAACCCGAACCAACCATCCCTCTGCTGCTTTACTTTCTTCTTCTGGGACTGGTGCCCCAAACCCCACCCATGGGGCTTTTCTTTTTGGGTGGGGATGGATGGGTGGAGACTAAACATGTCTAAAAGATGTGTTGTTTTTAACTTTAACCTTAAACCAGTTTTTAGGCAAGCGGTATCTGCATTTCAGCCTGCATAGGCAAGTCCTGCTTTCCCAAGTGCTGGCTGTAATCACACTGCCTGTTAACAGCAACTTTGCTTTCTGCTAATACTGCTGAAGAGAGAACCCAGTAAAAAGCTTTGTTCTTACCTTAGTAAGGTACTCACCAGGTGACAATATGCAAGACCATGCTTCTAAGACTGTCCGCCGTCTATATTGCAGGTACGAATGATGCTCTTTCAGATTGTTGTAAGGATTACCAAGAACATGTCCAGGAAGTATTTTGGACACTTAACAGGCATTGTACAGACTTTAAAGGTTTTTGTCAGAGTCGGTGAGAAGCCCAGCCACTGCATCAGTTGAATTACTTTGTTTCCAGTGCATGCTTGATTTCAGGCATGTCTTGCTTAACGTGGAACAGCTCTTAGAATAAACTGCCTTGAGCTGCAGGGAATCCCACCTATCTGAAGGTACACTCTCAAACAACCAAGCACAAATTCTAGAGAGGAAGTCGTATTTGTTTTGACTGCTTTCAACACAGTAAAAGCACAGTAAGATGCTTGTGGCATCTTAAAGACAACTAAGTGCATTGTCACAAAAACTTATAAATAG